ACTGTGTTTTTAGTGTGTTGTTTTTATTCTTTTACTTGTTTTAAACTTGTTCCATTGACCACTCCAGAATCTGCTTGGATATGGACCCATACATCTGAGGGCCAGCCACTGACTCTTGGCCTACCTTGCAGGGTTGTCATGAGGATGAAATGAAGAGGAGAAGCACGGATGCTGCTTTAAGTGTCTCGAAGGAAAAAATGACAGGCTATAAATTTAATCAAGAGGAGGAAAAGGGGAGGCTATAAATGTAATTCAGCCATCAATAAAATTTAAATAAATCCCAAGAGAGAAATTGAAGGGATGCAGGGAGATAAATGGAGAAAAGGGAAGGGAAAGGAAAATGAAAGAAAATAAGTCAAGGAGGAGTGCAGGATGCAGGCCACCCCATCTGGCGTGCTGAGCTGAGGAAAGCTAATTGTTACAGACAGACAAGCCCCTGAGCTTATCAATAATTCAGCCAGAAGAAGTGCCGGAGCATGTCGGATTAACAACGGATCAGACAGCTGGGCCCTCAAGTAGCCCCACAAGTGGGGCGCCTGACTAAAAATACCCACGGCTGAGCTCGGATGCCTTTAGACCGTGTTTCAGCTCCAATTAGCTGACAAAAGGCGACCCCGGCAGCCGGAGGTGGGACGCTGGCCACGGGGGCATCTCGGGGCATGACATGCCGGCAAAAGGCACAGGTCTGGCCAGGGGATGCGGCACCTGCTACCTCCTGGATGGCCCAGGGAAAAAGCAGCAGCCCAAGTGATGCCTGGCCTAGAAGCAACCTGTGTTGAATCCAGCACGGTTTCAAAATGGTGATGTCCTTGCGAACCTTGGAGGCTTGCAGGAACAAAGAGGGGTTATGTGTAGGCTTGAGGGAGCCTTGAGGAACAACAGAAAGGGGTCTTTCCCCCACCCCTTAGGAGCTGGTGGGCACAGGATACGGACTGACTGTTGGAGAAAAAATGGACCCATTCTATAGTGTTTGCTCTCATCTATACTGTCCATTTGCAGTTTTCTGGGGTTTTTTCCATTTCCATTCTTTAGTGGATGCTTCCAGGCAAAGACACTATAAAAGGACACACCTTTAATCTTGATGGGGCCTTCAGAGAAGAGGGGAAAGTGATGAGAATTGCACCCCTTGAATAAGGACCTTTGCGTACTGCAATTCAGCCATTTCTCCTTTTTTGGCTAGACCTGGCTCTCAGCATCCTTTGCTGACCAGTGGCCACCCGCACCCGCACCGCAAAATGTTTTACTGTCAATGTAGCCAGAGAAGAAAGGCTGAGTCAGGCTCTCTAGCCTTACAGAAAATGTTTTTTATGCCTCAGGAAATCAATGATTCCTCCACCACTGAATGGGTTTCTCTTTCCTCTGCTTCTTTCTCACCTTGCCTCAAGCTGGACTTTATCTCTGGAGGGTCATAAATAAGGTCTAGGCATTTTCTGCTGATGGCAGCATCTCTAGTCTCTTAAAATTAAGCAAGAGTCCTTCATTTGTAAAAGCTTGTAAAAGAGACATTCCAGTGCTGATGCATGAAGGAAAAACATCCATACTATTTGAAGTTCTCATCCGAGATCTTTTACCTGGGTCTATTCCAATGGGTACACAAATGCACTCTACACATGCTTAAGTGTGCTCATGCCTCTAGCTAGAAAAAGCTCTAGCACAGAAATTATTTTAAAGACAGTTCTGGTGTGCAAATCATCTTTAAAGTCCAGCATGTCAGAAGAGAACAACAGTGTCAAGAGTAGGCTTGAGCATGCACAGAGTGCCTTCACTCCTTGGCAATCAGATAGGAACTGACTTGGGTGGCTTGTGACTCCACCTTTGTCAGAAGGGGTTCCTGGTACATTACAGCATCAATTTTGAGCTTCGTGGAAGCTCTCCGTGGTGCTGAACATCCCTGCCCAAGACGGTTCGTGGCATGGAGCACCCCGGAGAGCTTCTGCGAAGCACAAAACCAGTGCCATGATGGGTGGCTGTCATTGGCAGGGGCTTCACCAGCCCTCTTTGCTACCGTGCCAGTCGTGGCACCTCCATTTGCCCCAGAAATAGCTATATAACAAATAGCTCTTGTGATCCTGACCGTGTTGCAGGCCCCACCACCTGTGTCCTCAGAATTCTTGCTTCCTCCAGACAAAACACCCAACATTCCCTGCTCCAAACACTTGGAATGCCCTACGTTTTTTTAAAAAAATCAGCGCATTAGGTCTCGCCCAACCAGTCTAACCCCAAACTTGCCGGCCGAGAAGGGAGCTTATGGCCCAGACAGGGCCCTGAATCTGCCACGTGGTGATCCTCAGTTCCGTTTCGCTTCTCCACCACCAGCTCTCTGATGTGCGGCCACTTTCGCAACTGACACTTTTGTCCTTTTGTCCTAGAGATGCTGCAGGATCTGGGGAGGAAATTGTGCCGCGTTGCTCCCAAAGAGAGGGAAGGGGGACAAATGTGCACCACTCTTGCCCGCCACAAGGAGATTTCAGGCTCGGCGCACCGGGTGAGGGACTTCGTCGCCGGCAGCCGTGTGGCGTCGCCCCGCCTTGGCAGGAGCCGCCGCTTCCGCAGTCTCAGCCCAGGGACCGCAGGGCCTGCCATATTTCTGATCTCTTTCACCTTGAAGTGACAGGAGAGGCGATTGGCGGGGAATCTCTGGTTTCTATGGAGACAGGTGTCCTCCAGGAGAGGGGGCTGAGATGAAGCCAGGGTGATGTGTGTGTGTGTGTGAGTGTGTGCGAGTGTGTGCGCGCGCCTATGAGAGAAAAAGGGGGAGAAGGTGAGCCAGACAGCTGCTCTTGCAAAAAAAACCCACAAAACAGTGCCGCTTCATTATGCATTGCACATCGTTTGTGATCCTCTGGCCCACCAAATGTTGCAGATCTAGAGATATTTTTAAAAGATGCAGAAATCACCAACTCCCTCTAAGCTGCTCCCCTTTCAACTCTTTTTCCCCCAGGGAAGGCGGGTGACAAGTTTATCAGTTTATCCATTGCCAACAACGTCGGTGAGCTTTATGGAAGCTGTCCACGGTGCTGAACGCGCTCCTCACAACAGGTTCGTTCCCAGGGATAGTTCCTAGAAAGATCAGGGTCAAAGCTGCCATGGATAAGGTCCCCCACCAGCCTTCCCTGTCCCCACCCAAGATGACTTCTCCCTGATGGCAGAATGACCCCAAATCTCCCCAGAGGAACTGCATGGAAAGGCCAGCAAAGCTCAGGATTCCAGCAGCCCCCATTAGCCGCCCAGTTTGTGCCAGAAGGACTCAAGAGCAAGGCATGATAGGAAGATCCCTAAGCCATCATCCCCTCCCCAGCACTAGAGGTAGATGGGCATGCCTCCCCCAAAGCTACAAAGTGTGTCTCCAACAGCATGATTATTTTTCACAGGCCTATTGTGTCTGCTTTAGGACTTTATGGGAATTAGGCACATCAAACTGTAAGGAAAGAGGGGATGAAACTTTGCTAAGCAGAACAGAAGCAACGGTGTGCCATATTCTCAGATTCACCCCAAGTTCCCTTTTGCAGAGATGCAATACCTACAATGTGGACCACATCCAGCAGAAAAAATTTGCGGGGGGATCATGGAAGCCCTTCCAAGAGTGCTGCATTTCCCCCCTTCAAAAGCCACATTCCTTCTGGAGTGACTCTTCAGGATCCCCATGCCAGGAGGCAGCTGCCCTTTCTCTGCCTCCTTCCTTGCCAAATCCTTCCCTCTTCTTCTCCCTTTCTCCAAAACTTTCTCTTTCCCCCCTCCTGTTCCTTCTCTCCCTCCCATTCATCCAGCCCCTCCCTCTCTCCTCCCCCACCAGCATCTCCACCACCTCCTCTCTCTTCCACCCTTCCCGTTTTTCCCACCCCTCCCACCTCCACTGCCCCATGCACCTTACCTCTCCCTTTCTGCCACCTTTCTCTGTCACCCTCGCTTCCACCCCACCTGGAAGGTCACTGTGGAAACAGCAGTTCGCACCTGCAGAGCTCAGGACCAATCGCTTGAGGCAGCTCTTGAAGCTGGGTGCATGGAAGCGGCTGAAAGATTTCCCTGCCTGCCTATTTACACTTCTGGTGCTGTTACATCTGCAACTGGATTTGCTTTTCACAGTTAATTACTCAGCTCCAATCTTCAGCATTGCTTTATCCTGCTACATGGCTCCTTGGTGAGCCCTAACAGGCATCACACACCTCTTTCAAATCACTCATTCAGTGAAATTAGGCCTTCTACCAGGTATTTATCCACCTGGGCCAGTACTGTGCTCTACCTGGAAGCAGCTCTTCAAGGTTCTCAGACAGAAACAGAGAGTCTCAGAAGGGGTCTCCTGAGCCATCTAGTCTGACCCCCGGCTCCAGCCGGCTCTGCTCATGACATGTCCACTATGTGGATGTCCAGCCTATCCTTGAACACCTTCACCGATGGGACCTCAACCACCTCCCGTGGGAGCCCATTCCACACCCTCGCCTAACTCTCAGAAAGGACTTCCTGGCATCCAAGTCAAACCTTGGATCCCTGAGCTTTGCTCAGTTGGAGCACATCCTGCCTTCCTCTGCAGGGGAGAACAGGTCTCTACCCACCTCCGTGTGACACCCCCTCACACACCTGTATGTTGCCAACATATCCCCTCTGAGCCTTCTCTTCTCCAGGCTGAAGAGACCCAGTTCCCTCAGTCTCACCTCATACGGCATCCCTGCAAACCCGCCACCATCCTTGTGGCCCTTTGCTGCCCTGACTCTAACCTGGCTATAGAAAACCTTTCTTTTCTCTTAAGTGATACCATTGATGGGAAATGGGACCTCCTGTGGGCAAGGCCCATATTCTACCAAATCTGGAAAAAGCAAGTTTCTAGACCTTAGGATTTCCAGGAAAATGCCCAAAGCTCCAGGAGAGATCTCAGAAGCCAAGAGGGAGATAGGAGTGTGATTTCTCACAACTGCAAGGTGACACTTCCCTTCTTTGCAGCTGGACACAGCCAATGGTGAAAAAGAAAATCCAGCAATGATGGGCTAGGCATGGAAAAAGCAAACTCGGACACATGGAATGTGAAGTTTAATGCAAAGGCAACACCGTCATGGTGAAGGAAACATGGAGGGATATATTGCACTGCAACACAGGACAACGCAGGGAATATTTGCACACGCACACACCCAACCAAGTAAACATGTGACAAAGATGGTGGAAATCGCTGGGATGAGCACAGGAGGAGAGGAAGAATGACTTCAGGGTGGAAGCGCCGATTATGACTGCCTCTCCTCCTCTTCACACAGAGTCATACTTAGGGGAAAAATACATCACGTGTTCATATCACATTGCAATTTTCATTCCCTTTCCTGCTCTTCTTCACTGGCTACAGCCTGGGGTTGGGGTGTTGGGATAAAAGCCAGGCAACTTGCAGGGGTGTCACAGTTGATTCAGAAGTGTGGGTCTTCATTGTGTTAGGCCCACACCATTCCCCCAAGCAGAGCCCTGAAAACTGTGACAAGCTATGTCAATAAAGGTTTTCTGGCAGTTTTCATCTCTACCTGGAGCAGGTCTTCTGCAAAGCCTCCATGGCTCATTTAAGGACAAGGTGGCTGCTCTGCATGACCCCCGGGGAATAACACCCTATGTTGCCGCTAAGGAAATGCACTGTTCCTCCAGTTGGAAGGATTTCAGCAGCGCTGAAGCAGGGAAACCTGAGCCGAGCGACTGAAGACACCTGCATCCCAGTACTAAAATGGAGCTGCACAGTGTTCCTGCAAGCTTTGGTTTCCCACACCCAAGCGGGTCTGTCTGAAGTGCCCGTGGTTAGCTGCTCTTCTCACACAGCCTGTATCATCATCATGGAGGAGCAAATGGGAAGAGCAGGACTGGGGGTACTTTTTGCTTTGCATTTTGCACTGGTCACAATAATGGCTAGCAGGCTGGTGGAACAACAACAGAGTTTGCATTGTTTGGGCCACAATATAGAGAACCCTGAGCAGAAGCATCCTGCAATTCCAGAAAACAGATAATTTTCCATGGTGTAAAACTGGGGAGGGGGAGCAGGAGAGGGATATGGTCCAACATAGACATTTCCTGCCCTCACCACATGCACACACGACATCAGATTTGATTAGACTGTTTGGCAGTTTCTTAATGCAAGGTAAGGAAGAAATCAGAGGTGTGAGAACAGCATATTAAACCCAGCCTGGAGCTGCATGGAACCACGTGGTTACTCTGAAGGATTTGAGTAAGAAGCCAGGCAGGGAGCTGGATCTTTAAAGCACATCACTCCATGGAAAAGTATTTGTGGGAAAGCACATCATGCTGTGATAGAAATTGCAAACAAATCAAGGGAAGTTTCAAGGGAAATCTTCAAACTTTGAGAAAAGTGGTTATGGCAAGGCAAAGGTGAGAACTTCCACCTAACCTCCTCCAGCCAGCTTAGCCCCTCAGCAAAATTACAGGAAGTTCAGTAAATTTTGAAGGAGCAGAATTTTGAAATAAAGTTTTGGACTTTCAGTTGAGCTCCTGCATCATTCCCAGAAAAGCCCTGGGGATCCAAATCTTGGTGCTTTCCATCTATAACCCTCCTGTGCTTCCCCTACTTCCTTTTCCACCATTTTCTTATCACAGGAAATGCATTAAGGAGAAAAAAGCAGAATAGGGAGGCATGGAGCTATTGTCTCAGTCCACCAAGCATTCCAGCTTACCTCCCTCCTGATTCTGAATGTGAAAGCAAACAAGAATGGTGTTTAGTTTTTTTTGCGGAGGGCTGGGAGCTGAATTTGTGGTTGAACTTGAAAGTGTGCATTTTGAAAAACACACACTTTAAAATCATGAAAATGCTCATGTTCCTTATTTTAAAATGTGCCCCTTTCCTGGTCCAGCAAAAAGAAAAGCAGTTTGGGAAAGAGAATGGAGCAAGGCAATGAAGCTATGAAGTAAAATTTGGGGAATCTTGGGGATTTCTCTGTTTCTCTCATCCCTACGAGCTCTGATCTGCCACAGAGCCCCTTGAAAAAACGGAGTGCCTCCAATCAGTTAATCCCAACCAGAGAAACTGCATGGCCAAAGCTGTTAGAGCGAGGGTGGCTAATATGCAGGGCACGGGCCATAAGTGCTCCCTACACCCCACTAGACCGGTATGCAGTGCCTCTGCAGGGGGAACAGGTAACCACACTGCAAGAGCCGAACCCTCAAACATTCCAGCCCCCCTTGTGAAACCTCTGCTCCTCTGTGAGCTAGGCAAGAGCAGAGCTGCATGAGCAAACCAGGCCGTTTTGCCAGATTTCCACTGAGCTAATGGAAGAACAGGAAAGCACAGGAGAAAGGAGCACGGGGACAATTTGTTGGCCGGTTCGGAATCAGATCAGCACCATTATTGCTTGAGAACAGGAGAGAGCAAAGTCTGTACCCCCTTTCTCCAAGGTGGGAACCCCAAAGGAACGGGGAGAGATTGTCGGCGAGTCACCCCAGCCAGACACCTCCGGCGGTCGACAATCATCTTGCCAGCGTCTTTGGATCAAAACGAATTCCTTGGCTCTCGCGGCCCGAGTCCACGCTACAGAGTCTGAATGGCCACTGGGTACAGCAGTGAGAGGTGCTCGGCGCCCTTGACGGGCAGCTCCTGGGCCGTGTAGTAATGGATGACCTCCGGGATGCTGTCAAAGGGGGCGCTGTTCTGGCCCAGGATGTATTTATTCTCCTTGCTCCGGGTGAACTTCATATGCATGAACCCTTGGCTGCTCCTATGGGAGGAAGAGATGAGGCAAAGAGATGCACCTTTACAGAGACTTTTGTACAGAAATGTGTGGCAGAAAGGCAGGATCTAGCAGGGAAGACCGTGTCCAGGTAAGCTCAAGGTCCATCCCATCTCCTGCCCAGGTGCTGCTACCTGTGGAGGGACAAGAAGGAGACTGGCCTGCACCTTCAGGGATTGTTCAGCTTAGAACCAAAGGGAGGAGCAGAGACAGGAGAAAGGCAGCAAACACTGGCCAAACAACAGAACAGCCACAGCACCCATGTTCCCCAGCAGTTGGTGTACAGGAACACACTGCCTCTAATCCTGGAAATCATGAGGCCTTGGATGGCCACCTCCTCCATCAATTCATCCATTCCTCTGCTAAAGCTGTTCAAAGTGGTGGTGGGGGGGCTTTATCACCTCCTTTCTGGAAGTGAATTCAACGAGCCCAATGAAGGGGCCTTCTTTTCCCTGGCCCTAAATTCCCCACTAATCAGCTTCATGGCTCCAGCATTATCTGAGGGAGAAAAATGTCTCCCAGTCCACCTTCTGCACCACACCACACGCCTCCACTGCCTCCCCCTTTATTTCCTATGAACTTTTCTAACTTCGTCTGATAACACAGCCTTCTTCAAGCTGTGGGCAGGATTGTGTGAGCTGCAAAGAGCGCATCCCTCAAGGTGCAGGATGGGGACGGCTGTCGGAGCTTTTCTCCTGGGGAGCCATGCCAGACCCTTCATCCTGTCACCAGCCCTTTCCCATACCCTTTTCCAGTTGCGCAACATCCTTTTTGAGGTGCAGCAACATGAAACGGTACATATTCCTCGCGGTACAGTCACCCCAGATCACAAGAGAGAACAGGAATCCATGCCGGTGCACCGGAGGGAGCCATGGCTTTAGCACTCGGGATCCAACGGAGCAGAGAGGGGATGAAAGGCCGAACTGTGGCAGACAGGAGACCAGGGCGGATAGCTTGCCAGGATCAAAGCACCAGCAGCCTCGGCGGGGAAGGGAGGGGAAGGTGGGGGGCTCAGCGCTTTTCACTGCAGATTATAGCCAGTCCGTCGCGTTACGTTTCTCTCTTCACTCAGGGGCACACGGAGATTCACCCTGGCAGAACAAGCCGCCGCCACATAATTGCAGCTGAGGAAAATCCCGGGAGATTTTGCGCTTGCGGCTCTCACCACAGCGTTCGGTAATTTGACCTTTGTGAATTTAGACTCCGGCATTTGTTGCTCTGGGGTGAAAAGCGCAGCTCAGAACTGGCCAACCCGGATGTTACAAAGGTTTCTCTGTATGAGCAGAGGATCAAAGCATGTTTCGAAGCGGCTTGTTTTGAGAGAAAACACATTTGGAGATGAAATGTTTGGTGTGAAGCATCTGTCTGGACACCAAGTCAAAGTGCGTGGGTGATTTGTCCACTGAGGATCCCTGTAAGAGAATCCCTGAATTGGTGTTCATTCTTATCACATTAATACCTTGACTTTTATTCTTCTGGAAGGAACCCAAGGTAGCTTTAGAGCCGGCCCCAACTCTCAGCCTGATCTACCTCACAGGGCTGTTGTGAGGATAAAATGGAGAAGAAAAGAAGGACCTCGTGTGCCACTTTTGTTCCTTGCCAGAAATAAAATACAGCCAAGTCACAAAGCAGCATCTTCTCTCAGGGAGGGCCTTTCGCCAGACCTTAACCGTGGGGCCTGTCTGTGTGTCCTCAGCACTCCAGGGAAGGCATTCTGTTCAAGCTCAGAAGCACATGGCCACATCTGATGCTTTTCTGGGAGGGAGGAGACAGCAACCTCTTTTCCTTGCTCTGACATTTCCTGACAGGTTCCAGAAGGAAAGGAACACACTGTTTTAATTTAATGGGAGCAGCCTTAAGCATTCCCAGCAGAAATCTGTGTTAGTTCACAGAGTTCAAAAGATGGAAACATGAAAAGAAAAATAAAACCTGCCACGCTGCAGCAAAGGGGAGCTCCTGCATTATTCTGATGAGCTGGACTTGTGCACAGGAATCCTACCCCCAAGTGACCCCCTGTGCCTTAAGTGCATCTTACAGGCATGCAAACACACCCCTCAAGCAAAGAAGAGAGAGGAAGAAAGGGGAGACGGGACCCCCTACCTGAGCGAGAGAGAGTAGTCGTTGCGGCTGGTCTCGCTGTTGCGCACCAAGTAGCTCCCTTCTTTGCACAGGGTGAGGAGGGACTCTGCGTCGGCTCGGCTGATCGTCCCATGAAACCACCTGAGAGAGGGATGAAAGGCTGATTCTGTGCCCCACATCCCTGGCACATCCCAAGTTTAGAGCCACAGCCCGCACCGATATGCCTGTGGCCCCCTGAGAAAACAGGGCCTCTGGATGGCCTCTTCTCATGGCAGCCAGTGGGAGCCATGAGCAGGAAGAGCAGGAGGAAGAGGAAGAGGAAGAGCAGCTTGGGGTAGTGGTGGAGAGTGGGAAGATTCCCTGTGGGGTGCTCTCTCCAGAGACCTCCAAGACCCCAACCCAGCACTGCACCAGTACAAATAATAAACCTCCCCCATCCCTTTTAGGTTTCTTCTTTGTCTCACATTTAAAGACTAACAACATCAGGTGAGTAAGTAAAAATTGTGTAGAAAAACTACTTTAGAAAAATTAAACAAGTTTAACCTGGTAGGCACCAAGTTGGAAAGAAGCCCAGGGTGTTATCTAGTGCACCCACTGCTCTGTGCAACCTCAGCATCTTGGGTGACCATGAAAAGGGGAGCCGGGGGCAAAAGAGAAATGCAAAGCAGAACCTGGGCCAGCCCAGTCGGTCCAGTCATCCATCCAGCTAGGGAGCTGAACACTCTTGTGGTTATCTGGATTTTACCTAACAACCTGGAGTTCACACCCTTCACTAACTAAAACTCCATAGATTACAATGAACATCTGCAGATAATTATTAGATTATTAACTGAATGAGCCATCGTGCTTCTTCTTAATGGGTTTTTTATGTCATGTTTGTTTGGCTGGTTAAAAACTTATTTCTAGATTCTCACCAAATGTATTGAAAACATGTGAGAACACAATTCAATTTTTTTTAAAGTTCACTGTGACTGTAACCTCTCCCTGTGAGGTGGGCTCATACTTTCTGTTAAAATATCTATCCCTCGCTCTCTAGGTAGCCAGCAAAATGAAAACACTGTGCCAGGACCATTTCAAATGATGGTAATAAAAGCAAGACACTAGCTATTGATTGGCAGGAGGGGAAGAAAAATTGATATCTGCTTTCAGTCCCTGCCCATCAGTTGAGGTTTTCCTTTGGCCTCAGAAGGACAATTTACTGATGCCTGTTTACGCACTGCTTTCCCAATAATTTGATCGATGGAAGCTAACAAGAAAAATTACACAGAGAAATAATAATAATAATAATAATTAAGACATCAAATTTTTCTAAGGCCCTGGCAGTAATCTTTCAAAATAATAACAGTAATAACTTTTGATCCATCTATAAAACTCACATAGTAATATGCTTCACACTTTACTCACAAGGAAAAGAATACAAGAAGCTACCTTAGAAGTAGCCCAAACCTTAGGAAAGTCTGTGCAGTTACCAACATCAGCTAAACTGACAGAATAATTTCTGCCCCCAAGGAAACATTTTCTTTTTTTTTAAGTCAATTTTCTAGTCCTTAAGGTGCCAAAGAGCTGCAAGGGTAAACCCAATGGAACTTCTAGCTTTTTGTCTTTGAACCGTGGCCACCATTTTGTCCCTACCCTCAGGAACCCAAAAGCCTCTCGCTCCTTAAATTCCTCCACCCATGTCGGATCTTTCTGCCCCACATTTCTAGCTCCCCTTAATGACTTTGCCAGCTCTCCGTTCCTGCTGCGTATGGCATGAACTCCCTCCCTGAGCCCCAGAGATTCTCACTTTCTTAAACGACCCATCCCATCCTTCTGCATGGCTTTTCAGCCATGGCCCGCTCCCAGAGATCTTCTCCCGCTAGCATGGCACTCCAGGGCCGCATTTCCTCCCGAAGAGCTTGGCACCTTCAGACAACTTGATTCTTCTTCTTTGCTGCCCCTAACGCCTGGATCCCAATCCTGGAACCCTACCAAATGCCTCTTCTACACTTTTCTCCTTTCTTTCCCCGCTTTCAATGCCCTGAAGAGTTGCTGCTCTGACACAGCTCTGCCCACTCTCCCTTACTGCCCTTTCTTCCTGGAATTCCCTCCCAGAGGGAACATGCCCTTGCCAGAGGCGTTGTTCCTCACCGGGCCATGGAGTCCACCCGTTGGCCGCGCCGGCGGGCCCCTTCCCTTGCTCCCCCGCCTGACTTACGCCTGATTTTCCAGCGGCAGCGAGGGGTCGAAGCGCTCGGCCACAGGGAGGCCAGGGTCAGGGCTCTGCGACCTGCCGAACTTGGAGCCGCTGGGCAGGTGCTTCTGCTGGCGCCAGCGCTCTTTGTGCGCAGAAGAGGCAGCGGGGGATGTCCGTTCCCATTCCGGGCTCTCAAATTGCACTGTGGGAGGAATGGAGGGGACCGTGAGACTGGGCGAAAAGCAGGGAAGGCGCTCCCGGCCAGAGAAAGGGTGAGCCCGAAGGATACAGCTGCCCATAGCCAGGGGAGGGTGCGCATGCCCAGCATCCATGGGGGTGTAAGAACACAGGAAGAGGCTGAGCAGGGTCTGACCAGGACCCTCGGGTCCAGCTGTGTTTACAGAGGGGGTGGCCAGCTGCTGCAGTGGGAGTCCTGCAAGCACCCTCCCACCCATGTTCTCCAGCCACTGGAGTTGCCAGGCACACAGCTTCTGCTGCTGGAGAGAACACAGAACCATGAGGACTAGCAACTTCTGCTCCATGAATCTTTCCAATCCTCCTATAAAACTGTCCAAGTCCTTGGGACTCCCTACAACCCAGGGACACGAATTCCAAACTTTTTGTGTCAAATTCTTCCTTTGATCGGCCCTGAATTTGCCTCCCATCAGCTTCATGGGAAGACCCCTTTGGGTTCTGGTAGTACGAGAAAGAATGCAGATCATCTCCCTTTCCACTTTTTCCACAACATGCATAATTTTCCACTATTCTATCAAGCTTCTCTGATTCACATTTTTTAAATTTCCACCTTTCTTGGTCACTCTGGGGACAGAATGCTAGATTAGTCCTCTGGCCTGATCCAGCATGGTGCTTCCTTATCTTTACTCTTGGCATACTAGTCCCTGCATGGTATTTGGCCAGCCACCATCTCTTAGACTCAGTTTTCCCATCTGCAATATGGGTATAAGTAAGCCCAGCCTACCAAGTTTCAAGTCTGCACAAGACAGGATATTTGTGTAAGGCTGAATGTGAAAGAGATTCACCTTGGCAAGAATATGGTGTTTTTCCTGTACCTGGCAAAGATCTTTTTGTTTTCCTGGAGGTTTTTAACCCTATGTTGTTGCTTTTAATTGTATTATGCAATTGATCTTGTTTACCACTTTTGATTACCAATTGATCTTGTTTGCCCTCACTTGATCCTGTTCACCACTTGGTTTCATTCTGTTTTAAACAAATGGCTTCATACTGCATTGTACCTGCCCGTTTTATGTTTTTAAAATTTGCCTTTGAAACTGCCCAAGGAGCTTCAGCTGATCAACATAAAGAAAGATGAAAGAAAGAATGGAAGGAAGGAAGATGGATGGATTTTCAGATTAACCTCGCTCCATCCCTCTCTTGCTTTTGAAAAAGAATAAGGGCTCACTTTTATTCTGCCTTGCACACTGTAGTTCTTAGTGTTTTTGGAGCTTTGCAGCTAAGCTGCTTAAAAAACTCGTCTTTTCCTTTTCTTTGTTGCTGGGTGATGCTATATTGTAATTTTATATTAAATTGTGGGTTTTCAGCAACATTAATCTTAGCTGATGGTCCTACATGCAAGAAATATTGTTATTTCTATCTCTATCAAGCAAGTCGTGAGGTGCAGAGAAGCAACAGCAAATATTGGTGCTTTTGTCATGAGCCTTCCAGTCTGCACCAGGGATCCTGATGGAAAGGAGACACAGTCATTTCCTTTGGGGTAGGAGTCAGTGTCCTGTTTGGCACCCTCAGGCTACAAAATCAGGAAAGGGTCAGCCAGTTCCCCCTGGGGGAACGCCACTGACCAACATGAGGTTTCCATTCTCACTAGCTCCCAGCTGAGACTACATCTTCCTATGTTTCTGGCAAGAGGGAGCACCAGCCAGCCGATCTCCCTCTGAGCTGTCCATGGTCCTGATTCCACCTCTGTGTTCTTCCTTTTCCCAGCCTTGTTGGATTGGATGCACTTACCTTGGCCAGACTCTGCGTACCTGACTCAACCTCCCTGCCTTGACCCGGCAGCTTCACACCGATCAGATCTCCTTGCCTTGATCTAACCCTGAGAGATGATGCACACTTCCCCTGAGAGCCTCAGAAGACTGAAGAATGGGACCTATTCTTACCCTCATGGTGCTGCCCCAGTCGCATTATTGGAATGTGCATGAAGGGGGATTCCTGGGGACGGTTACGTGATGGGGAAGGAAAATGCACAGAGTTCCAGGAGCACCACATCAGACATGCCAAAGTCGCGCGTCCACATGCAAACCAGATGCCACAAACGTGACAGGCACAGGAGCAGTGAGGGAGGGAGCAAAGAGAAGGGGAATGTTAAGAGAGAGATGGGAAGGGAGAGAAGGAAAAGTCCCCAGGGGATTGTGAGGAAACGCATGTGTGCAATCACAGAGTTGGGCGGGTTTTGAGAACGTCTTATCTAACCCTCTGCTCTGTCCAGGATCTCAGAATTCTTCATTTGGATGTGGCTCTTTTTGAGTTATTTTGAGCCAAATTTTTTAGCTTCTCTCACTTTCTGCTCTAGCAAGACTTTGGCTATGGCAAACCTCAGTTCACTGCAGACCAGCTCCTGAAATCAACATTTCAAGTCTAAGAGGCTGATCAGGACTGAGTTCTTGCCATAAGCACGTGTGTGTCTCTAAATTTTATAAAGACCTGTTCCCCAGCCTTCCTTTGTTCAGATGTTCCCATCTTCCTGCACGCCCCCAGGGAGCCTGGGGATAAACGTACAGGGTGTCCCCCCAAAAACTGACATCATTCATAGTCTAATAACATAGCCAATGATGTCAATTTTTTTGGAACACCCTGTATATTCTGTAGGGACTCCTGTGTTTTCCATAAAAAGAAAAAGGAAAGCCCAAATTTCCCTAGTTTTCTCAGGACCCATGAGGACTAGCTTCTTTTAGAAACAAAGACTGAAAATTTCAGATTGCTAAATCTCCTCACAGCCCTGCCATATAGACTTTTACATCTCCTTGCAGGCAGGTGTCATGTACAGCTGCCATCCTGAGAGACAATGGCTCCATGTCTTAACATGCATAGAGAGCAGCTGGGAATTCAACGGGTGCAACTCTGGTGTGCTTAAATCAGGGTTCTGAATCTCTTTCAGCACAAGGGCAGGATTCTATCTTGCAAGAGCTCCTGGCTGAGGGGAGGGTGAGTGGAGCCAAAGGTCAAAAGGGTGGGGTTGAATTTTCTTTTTTTTAATACCAGCATCTTGACGCTGGATGCTCTTCAAACCAGGGACTAATCCTGGAGAGAGGAGTTCCTATGTATTGCAATGAGAACATCACAGAAGCCAAGAAACTACCCAGTGATGGCTAGTTTGAAATAAATGGGGCCAATGCTGGTGGACATGTCCATCCTGGAAGATCTGGACTGGGATCCCCACATCTGACCTCTGGGTGACAGGTTCTCCAACCCTGACGTAAACAAAACAATCCATTGGCAAATTCCTGACAACATGGCCTAGTGGTTAAAGTTTTGGACTAGGACTCAGGAGATCTAGCTTCTAGTCCCAACTCAGCCATGAACCACACTGGTGAACTTCAGGCCACTCATACGCACCTCACAGGGTCCTTGTGAAGATTAAATGGAGAACCACATACAAGTTGGGCAAGGTTCCTTGCCGGATGAGAGCCGGGCTGTAAATCTAACAAATTTATGATTTACTTAAACAGCAAAAAGGAGAAGCAGTCCCTGCTGAATTTCTGCCTGCCCAGTTAAAACCTCTGTCTATACAACCGAGAGCCACCTGCTGGTATCCCAAGTGGGGGGGGGGGGGGGCCCCACGTCCCAACGGAAGGTTAGAGCCAAGCCCAAGCAGACAGGGGCGGGGAGACGCTTCGACAGAGGGAAGGTGGACTGGAGGCAAACGGGGAGGCGGGGAGAAGAGGGAGGCGTTGAAAGACGACGTCACCTTCTGGATCTAGGGGGTCCTCAGTCCCCGTGAGCTGTCCCACAGGCGGTGGCCAGGGTAAAGCTTTAGTCTCCTTAATGTCTACTGCAATGGGAGGGGACATCATGGGAGGGGGAGAGAAGAAAGATCATGAGAAGGGAGGGGGCAGAGGAGACAGGGAGGGGGAGGGGGAGACAAAACCAACATGATAAAAAGAAAAGATCCAAGGGTTGGCAGACAGACGAGGGAAGGCATCCTGCAGCCCCCACTGCCCACCCCTCCCCCCATAAACATTTGCCCCCATGATCCATTTTCCCGGTGGTTCCCACATGCCCGGAAGGAAGCAGCACCAAGCCAGGTCACCCCTGGGCTGCTGACCAAACCAAACAGGCTTGGATCGCTTCCTTCCCCTCGTTTTCGTGAGATGAGAAGGTGGTGAATGGCTGGCACCTTTGCCACAGTGTGTGCTCCTTTAACTCAGGTTTTGTTGATGCACAGCAGTTGCTCCCTTTGGAAAGGAGGCTGTAAGAGGGATACATTTTGTCCTGGAACCCTGTGCAGGAGCCCAGGTATTTTCCCACCTCTTGGAACCAAACACAGGCTCAACACACCTAGTTTTCTATACTCTTTTGACAGCAAAAATATTGATACTACAACACCGGAAGGATTTTTTAAAAATCCACTATGCAGAGCAGCGAGGTTCTAATGGCACTTCCTGCTTTGGAATGGGTGGCATTTAGATGCCACTTTGGCACAGAAAAGGAGTTGGATATTTGGTTTTCCTTTACTCAGCTTATGCATAACTATTTCTATACTATTTTACACATACTATATATATATATATATATATATATATATATATATATATGTGTGTGTGTGTG